TTTTTTGTTGCTTATATTGCTATCCATCCATTGCTGTCTTGATTTTAGTTATTATATGTAGAAACTGTTGTATGTTCCTCTTCGTAAATCCCCACCCCGTAATTGGTCTTATACTCTCTTGCACTATTTATTCAGTTAGACGTAAGCTAAACAGTCCTCTTAATAACCAGCAATCTCCTTATATCGAGCAAATTGAATTAACGTCTTTTACTTAAATTGTGGAGCGCTGGGTGTAGTAATTTAATTAGGAACTAAAATTGATCGTAGGTGAAACGGTCTTGCTTAGTCTGGCTGCTTTAATGAAACTGGACGTTTATAGTCACTGCAAACTGCAAAGTCGTATCTACAACTTTAATGAATATCTTTGCTTTTAATCTGAATTATAGGATAGGTAGCTGGGTTTATAGTTCGGGTTTTAGGTAATATTAACAGTAATTAAAACAAACCATCTGCATAAATGTCTTTCGTCTCGCGAAAACGATTTTACTTGTTTACTAATAATACTACAAATGCAGGCAAAACGCCGTATTACATAGCCAAAGTCATTATAATAATACAAAGAAAAGTGCAAGAGTTGACGTAACTTAAATAAAAAAAACTTTTGCAATGGCTATTTTATAAAAAATGTGCTTTCGTTAATTCAATCATCACTATATTTCATGGTTAAATCACAAATAGAATTCCACAGCGTAGATGTTAAAACATTGTTTGACTTCATATGTTTGAATTAATAGCTTTAAAAAATGCTAATAATAAAATACGTTTTTTAAAGAAAATTAAACATGCTGTCAACTTTATTCTTAAATTTCAGTCCAATTTGAAACCTTGTGACTTTATCTTAAAAGTTTTACAACTTTTACTTTCATCAGGAAAATCCGGTGTATACAATAAAATTGAGTTACACAAGAAAATGCGTTGATTTGCGGTGGGCGTTAAACAGGAAGTAGAGTTTAACTAATTTCGATGTAGAAAGCTTCTTTGACTATTGAGAATAAATATAGATTCCTTATTTTTACCGACAAACAGAAGGTTACTAAGGGTCATTATCTCTCTAGATACAAAGGCAACGTTTTCAATGGTGATCCTATCTTACTGAAAATTTAACATCAAAAGCGTATTCCTGTGGCGGTAATTTGAAATGTTTCCTTTTCATTATGTGAATATACAAATAGCATTGCCCCTATTAACTTCGAGAGCTTTAACGGGATAGGAAACTCAAGTTCCAATTTTTGATACGATATTTGGTATCTGATGTAGTTTATTCGGGCCTATAACTAATTGGTTATGTAATTAGAGCTTTATTAAAATCATGTAAAATTATAAAGTTAAGTTTGAAGTTGTAAAGACGTCTGAAATAAATATTTTTTTCCGATAAATGCTGCAAATAAGTATTAAAAATATTTTTTGCGCGATTTCACTGAACTTTTCAATTCTTAGAAAAAATATATCCAAGATTAAAATTCGTTCTTTGATTTCGTTTCAGTCACTATATAAAAAATTAATTTAAAATAAATTAACAACAGTCTTTATGTCAATGAACTTTCTTTTTCCTTTCATCTTTCAGCTTAAATATAGATTATATATTAAAAATTGTTGCAAAAGCTTAAGGTATTATCTGCGTTCAACGTTTAAGTTATTTTTCAAAACAATCCGCTTGGCTTTGTTCCTTTTACCCAAGCGATGTTAGATGAAAATAGGTAGGTATATAAAAAACTCCAGAAAAATCATTCTTTAAGAAAAGTTCTAAACATTTTCCCAAAATAGCCTCTATCGATTGCCGCATCGAACTTACCGGGTACACACATATCAGACAAAAACCGTTTAACCGTGATTACAGAGGAAGTTATGTGCAATGCAATGCTGCCAACCGCATATCACTAAATATCTCCATTTGCGCGTAATTCAAAAAGATATTATTTTCTAAACAGACCTCGATTATTTTACAACGGTTTTTAAATTTATTTATTATTACTAGACCAAATCCTTTACTAAATTAATTACTTTTTAATGTCCTAATATTTTTAACAGTGGACTCAAGTCACAGTTTATTTTAATACTTCAACATTGTACTAATGTATTAGAATATATTAGTAAAAGTCGCAAATGTTATTTACGTACTAATCGCGCTACTGAAATTACTTTAGATATATAACCTCTACTTCACTTTCAGTAACATGTTACATTCATTTTATTCATTTCATTTATTTATTTATTTATTTATTTATTTATTTAGACAATACACTACCCTACAGAAATTCCAATTATAGAGTAGGTACAAACAAAAAACTACCTTATACACTACATGATATGAGATAAGTAACAATACAAAACATTACATGCCTAAACAATTAGACAAAACAGCAGATAAATGAAAAAACAAATATAATTTAATTTGCAAATGTAACTTTTTTAATTATGGCTATATTACAATTAAAAATATCAAACTGATTTTGAAACAGATTATATTTATCACACATTTGAAAAAGAGGAGAGTATTTTTGAATATTAATTCTTGACACAGGTAAATAAAACAATGAAGAAAAACGAGGTGATAATCTAGGTATATGAAAATTTAACATGAAAGTAAAGAAGGACAGTCAATTGCGTTATGTAATAACATATAAAAATATCAATTGCGCAATCGTTCTACGCTCCTCTAAACTGCGAAATGAAAATCTGTTTAAAAGCTCACATTGAGGGATACCAATAGGTGGATAATTGTCATCCTCTCTAAAAACTGCAGCCTTTAAGAATCGTCTCTGAACTCTTTCTATATTAGTTATGTAAATATTATAGTAGGATGACACAATGCAGAAATACTCTAATTTAGATCTAACAAAAACTGAATATAACAATTTAAAAGTAGATTAATTATTAAAATCCTTAGAGTAGCGTAGTACAAAACTGAGCATTTTAAAGCTTTCGTTCGTAGTCATATTAATATGGTACGAAAAAGTCAATTTACTATCAAATACTACACCTAAATCACGGATGGTATGTGGCCTGGTAAGAATAGTATTATCTATCAATACAGTAATCAAATACAACCGGTTGCTGTTTGAGAGGAAAGGTCATGACATAAGACTTTTTAATACTAAATTGTAAGTTATCAACATTACACCATAAAATAATTTTATTTAAAGCAGATTGTAAATTAAAACAGTAATTTCCGTTACTTATACTAGTATAGAGCTTCATGTCATCAGCATATAATAAACAATTAACATCAGTTCCAACCACAATATCATTAATGAACATATTAAAGAAAAGAGGTCCAAGAACCGATCCTTGCGGTACACCAGAAGTAGCTACAAATTCTTTCGACAGCCGACCATGATATTCAACAAATGCATGCCGATTTAATAAATAAAATAAAAAGAAGTGTAGTAAGTTCTTTAAGAAACCGAAACTATTTAATTTAGTCAATAAAACACCATGATCAAGCCGATCAAAAGCCTTTGTGAAATCGGTGTATATATACTACTTGCGAATTCGAATCAAAAACACCCGGGATATACACAGGTTGGAGGTGGTGGATCTGCCCTTAAAAAAACCATGTTGATATTCATTTATTCCATTCTTTGTAAATGAAAAAATAAAATCGTAAAGAAGAAACTCATAAACTTGAAAACAGTTTGAAAACAGAACAGAAAAGTTATTGACAATTGTTATAGGTCTATAATTTTCAACTTTATTTCTTTCACCTTGTTTATAAACAGGAATTACTTTAGAGTTTTTTAATACACTAGCACTAGGATAAGTATTACATCTAATAGACAAATTAAACAAGATGGTAAGAGGTACAGCTAAAACACAGGCACAATCATTAAGTACAAATGCAGGGATTTTATCTGGGCCCATAGTATTTTTGGGTTTTATTTTTTTAAGGCTGAAATCACCTCTGCTTCTGTGAACTGATTCAGTTGAAACAGTGCGTATCCGTTAATGAGTCAACAGAAACAAAACTGGACTTAACAAAAGTACTACTAAAATACTGAGCAAACATCTCAACCACTTCACCAGTACCTTCATAAGAATTATCTTGGTAATACATTGTACTTGGCAAGCTGTTGTTATTCTTTTTCATATTGATAAATTGCCAGAATTTATTGGGATTGATTTTAATACTGTTCTCAATGTTACGACAATATTTCAGATAATCACATTTATTATCGTTACTATACCTTCGTAAATGGTTTTAATTGTTTTTCTAAATTATGTATACTCTTTGTCTAACATTTTTTCCTTGTTGCTTAATTGTTTATGAGTATTAACTGTATTTTATTACGACCCAACATTGTTCTTATTTTTTTTCCCAATGGAAATGTAAAAGAGGACTTATTTTATATTCCCATTGGTAAAATGAACTCACACTTATCTATAAATAAAAAAATAAATAAAATAAAATCGTCTTTATTTATAAAAAAGAAATTTCGTACAAAAGACGAAGTTATATCCTCATGGCTACTCTTCCACTTAAACTTATCTACTTTCCGTTAATATTTTTTTATTTCTAAATTGTCATAAATCTTACAATTTTTTTATTATAACTTCTGTAATTGCGCTTTCCCCTTGACAGTTAGATATTTTATTGCAGTAAATAAAAAATATATATTTCGGACACTACGACTTTTATTTTCAATTTTCCATTTTTTATGTTTTATGACATGGAGATCCGAGTGGAAACAATGTAGTATTGCCACTTTTTAGTGGAAAATGGACGCCTTTTTGCTGTTTTCGAGAAGTTTCCTTAGATGGTTTTTCACTGAATCTACATATACCTTTTCTTCCAGAATTTTTTTCGTAGTTATACCTATTTGAATATTACTTTTATTACCATTTTTTTAATCTGATAATACGTGAACTTAAAAAATGAAAATCGTCTGAAAAATAAGAAAACACCTGGTTGTATCTATCAGAGGATTATAAAAAAATTATTTTCAAAAGATGAAGACATTTATTTTCACCAGCACTGGAAACCGTCAAAGAAATATTCTTACCTGTTTAGAGGCAGTGCTGTCCAAACTGCTTTGACTGGATACGCTCGGAGTCCTACAAAGAAGCGGCTGTCCACCAGGATATGACTTGGATTGGTGCTGAAGGTGAGGCGCCATAGGTGCGGAGCACAAATCCAGCTGCGTTTTCAGCACCTCGGCGGTCAACGCTTGGGCTGAGGGGTTCTGCGGTGGTTGGATGTTCAAGTGCTCCTTTTCTACTTGGAACTCCTGAAAAGGGACAAAGTCGTTAAGGATCGGCCCTAAAAGTTTTATTAGTTAAGAATGTGTTGCTTTTCACACAGTTTAACTTTTTACTCTTTTTTTCTTGTGATTGGATATCAGTTTGGCCAAAGTTAAACAGATAAGTAAATAAACAAATAGATAAATAAATAATATAAACCTAGTTCCAAACAAAATATTGCTGGAGAGAATTTTTCTGTGACGTTAATAGGCTACATTATTTTTTTGGATATTTTGAAAATCAAACAAAAATCCCTGAAGATTTGTTTCTGCACTTTTTGTGAAACAAGTAACTCTAGATCAAATTGTATTTATTGTTTTCCTCAGTACTGAATTAATACTAGATATTTTTTGTAAGAAATTATTCAGTTACTCAGTTAAATATGACTACTTTGGTCTTTGTGCTACAACCTTTCAAAGTTGTTAAAACTAAAACTAATTTAATTAATAACTTCATAACCCTTTTGCCGATCACATTAAAATTTGGCACATACAGGGTGGCCAATTGAAAACGAAACAGAGCCATTTTCAGGAACTGCGTCAAGATTGTAGAAAAACGAAAATATTTAAATGGCATTAGGGGTTGAGTAATATTTCTTTTGAAAGCTCTTACAATTCTCTTTAAAGCAGATTTTAAATTTTATAGTTCCGCCCAATACTTTGAAAAAAATTTACATTTTAAAATTTAAATTATGTTTAGTTGCTTACTTACTTACTACTTAGTTGATTAAATGTTCAAACTGATGACCGCCTTACTTAGGTACTACTTAGTTGATTAAATGTTCAAACTGATGACCGCCCGCTTCCATATAAGAATAAAGATTTTGTTCGAAACGTTCGCGCACATTCCGAAGCATTTCCGGAGTGATTCGACGGTATTCATCGACGATTCTTTGACGCAAATCTGCCAGCGACGCTGGCTGTGGTTTATAGATGTTACTTTTTAGGTATCCCCATAAAAAGAAATCAAGGGGCGATAAATCCGGTGATCGTGTAGACCACTCAATGCTGCCTCTTCTCCCAATCCAATTCCGTAGAAAACGTTGATCCAAATACTAACAGACATAATGTAGAGGAGCACCGTCCTGTTGAAAAATCAAATGATCTTCATCATGCTCTGGAACATTTTCAATAATTTCAGTCAAGGCAGGGTCAATAGCGTCTTCCAGTAATTGCAAATACATTTGGCCAGTCAAATTACCAGGTAGAAAAAAAAGACCTACCAGCCGGTCACCGAAAATCCCAGCCTATACATTTAATTTTTGCGGTTGCTGTGAATGCACCTCGTGAAAAACTCTTGGGTTTGAATCGGACCAATAGCGGCAATTGTGACGAATTACCGTCCCGTTCAAGAAAAAACTGCATTCATCAGAAAAACAGATGTTAAAAAGGAACTGTGGATCGTTCCCTGCTCGCTCACTCATTATTTCGCAAAATTGCAAACGGCGGTCATAATCATCCTCATGAAGTTCCTGGACTAAATGTATTTTGTATGGATGGAATTTATTCTTCTTCAAAATGGTTTGTATGCTAGTTCGA